GGTTAGAGCTCCTGTTGTTGTGGTTGGAGTAGAGGTTGTTGTGGTTGGTGCATCTGTGGTTGTGGTTAGAGCTCCTGTTGTTGTGGTTGGAGTAGAGGTTGTTGTGGTTGGTGCATCTGTTATTGTGGTTGGAGGTCCTGTTGTTGTGGTTGGAGCCGCTGTTGTTGTGGTTGGAGGTGTTGTTGTTGTGGTTGGAGCCGTTGTAGTTGTGGTTGGAGCACTTGTGGTTGTGCTTTGTGCTGCTGTGGTTGTGGTTGGAGCTTCTGTTGTGGTGGTTGGTGCAGCTGTTGTTGTGGTTGGTGCAGCTGTGGTTGTGGTTGGAGCTGTTGTGGTTGTGGTCGGAGCAGCTGTTGTTGTAGTTGGAGATGCTGTGGTTGTGGTTGGAGGCGCTGTTGTTGTGGTTGGAGCAGAAGTTGTGGTCGGTGCAGCTTTTGTTGTGGTTGGAGCTGCTGTTGTTGTGGTTGGAGCCGCTGTTGTTGTGGTTGGAGCCGCTGTTGTTGTGGTTGGAGCTGCTGTGGTTGTGGTTGGAGGTGATGTTGTTGTGGTTGGAGCTGCTGTGGTTGTTGTTCGAGCAGCTGTTGTTGTGGTTGGAGCACTTGTGGTTGTGGTTAGAGCTTCTGTGGTTGTGGTTGGAGGAGTTGTAGTTGTTGTCGAAGCTGTAGTCGTGGTTGGAACTGATGTTGTTACAGTGAGTGTGGTTGCAATTGGAACAGCTGTAGTTTGTACTGGAATAGCTGTTGTAGTTTCTGTAACAACTACAGTTGTTAAGTGAGGGTCTGTAGTTCTGTCTGACGTGGCAACAACTGCTGTCGTTGTGTCTGGAGTAGTCTTGGCTGTGGTTGGAGCTGCTGTGCTTGTCATTGACGTCACTTCATTTGTTGTTGAATTAGTAGTTGTCGTGGTCAGAGGATCTGTAGAGTTTGTTGCAGTCATCATCTTCTGAGCTGTTTATTTTTTAGAGTGGAAACATTTTATATAATCAATATTTGCATCATATGCTGTTGTATTTAGGCTCTGAATTTGTAATGTCATACGTACCTGTTAGTATTAGTAGTAGTGGTAACACTTTTTCAGGACCCATACTTTTTCAATCTTAGTGCTGTAAATTTAGGCAAAACAAACAACTCATTCAAACGTTAGTGAATCAGGGAAATATTTCATCAGTACTTAATATCATTTAACATAGAGACATTTCGGTAACACTTTATTTGAATGGGGGTGAGTAAGACTGACATGACACTTTCATTAACATGACATAACACCTGTCATGAACATGAATAAGCCTTCATGAATATTTATGACTGTTGTCATAAAGCATCATTCGGTTAGTTATGACACTTTTAATACAAAGTTAACATTGTTCAAAATGTCTTTGTTATGACAACTTGACATTAACCAAGAAATCATTACTGACATAAATTTGTTATAAAAGTATTACTGATTGCACTTTAAAAATAAGGTAACTTTGTTATTAAAGGTAAAGTTTAAACAGTAATGATTTCCTGGTTAATGTCAAGTTGTCATAAAAGACATTTTGAATAATGTCAACTTTGTATTAAAAGTGTCATAATTTACCGAATGACGTTTTATGACAACAGTCATAAATATTCATGAAGACTTATTCATGTTCATGACAGGTTATGTCATGTTTATGACAGTGTCATGACAGTCTTATTCATCCCCCTTCAAAGAGAGTGTTACCGACATTTCCAAGTCACAAAGACTTGGAAATAGTAGAAATATCTGCTTTCCTATTCACATGTATTCACCTATACTAATGCTTGCTTAATTTAGGCTGTCAAGTCATTTTATTAAATACAGAAATGGTTATGTAATTGAAAACATATAAGTAAGCTTTATTATTATTCATAGCAATTTTTGAGACTTTCGTACAATTTTTAATATTTTAAAATTCAATTATAAATGTGGTGATGTATTTAGTGTAATTTTTCAAAACACTTATGTAGCTTTTCAACTCCAGCAGTTTCACTATGTAAGTTTCAGTAAGCTGCAAAGATGATGGCCACATGCAGCTTCAGATTAGCAATTGGTAAAAATCATTCAAAATAATAATAAAAAAGGTATGACTGAGCTATATTTTCATTAATCTTTGCTTCAGATTTTTTGAATATATGTTTATAATTTAGAAAGTAAAAAAAATTCAACTTTGAAACATATTTTTAACTGCAATTTTTGATTTTTTAAAAAAATAAATGTATGTGAAATGTCACAAAATTGACTACACTGTTACTTAGAACAGAATTGGCTTCTCTGTACTGCACTTATGCTCACCTCGGCATACTCAGTACTTTAAGTGTCTCCAATTACTGGACAGTTTGAATAATTTTCTGATTAATTTGGTTAACATATATTTGACCACTTAGAGGCACTCAGGCAATGTACACAGCACTGAGGTTTCACCTCAGTGTGAGATTTCACAAAGAAACCTCACACTGAGGTTTCTTTGTGAAATCTCACACTGAGGTTTCTTTGTGTTCAATTGTTGAACACGAAGAAATAAAAATGAATGCTTAATTCCTCTAGTATGCCCTCATGCAAGTGCATGCTGCAAAATCTACATATTGTATGTCAGTAAACAGACACAACCCAGTACAGAAGCAGAACATAAAACACAAGCTTCTCAATCATGAGAAAATCTGATGCTTCAATAAAAAAAGATAAAATGGGCTGACTAATGGGAAGATACAATGTTGAAGTGTGACAGCAACTGTAATGTACAATATTAGTGAAAATGTTTATCGGTCTTCTAACTACCCCTACAAGGATTGGTTAAGACCATGAATGTTATATGCCCTCTTTAATATTTCAATAACTTTAATGTTATGATGCACTCAAATGTAAAGTGATGGGAAAAGCCTGCATCAAAACTTCTGTCTTCAGTTTGTTGAGCCGTTCTATAGTAAATTATAAAATGCTCGTTGCGCTACAGGTAGACAGGGGAAAATAAGCAGCTTCAATTTGTCGCTCCGTTCTGAGTCAGCCAGCTGTGCCATTGCTTCTACATATAGAAACATCACCTGAGAAACAACCTCAAGCTGCCTTCGGTTCACTCTCGAATCCACAGACTACCTCTGTGCCCTCTGCTCTCAGCTGTTTCTACCAGAGAGACATACTGTGCATATTTACTTGTGGGAGTTATAATTAGAGCAGGTCTGAATCTGATGGTTAATGCTTGGATACTGGTAACCTTAATGGCTGCACTGTTTCAAAATTTGTTCTCGCTTGACATTGATACCAGTTTCCTCCTCACCACTGCACCTTAAAAATAGGTATGGATGAAATGTAGAGACTGCTGTAAACCCTCAGCCGCGAGAGGAAGGTTCAAAACTAGATAAAAATCTACACATCACACACACAGAAGCCTAAAATATTAATAATTTGAACCGGAGCCTCGTGTATGGAAGGCCGCAAGTGTCAGTTCAGTACTTTAAAAAGTACAAAATTAGATTTTTTTGTATGTAAAACATTATAATACAACTGCAGACATGTCTGTCAAATTAAAATAATCCATAATTATCTCAAACAAATTATGATTAAAAAAAAAATAAAAATAGGTCACATGTAGTGTATGGAAGAGGGTTAGGACCACCGAAAAACAAAATTCAGAGTTTAAGATAAGAATTTTGAGAGAAATGTCAGAATTCTGACTTTAATCTCAGAATTCTGAAAATAAAGTCATATTTCTTTTTTTTTCAGTGGCCCTGATTCTGTTCCATACTTGAGTAATAACTTAATAGATATACTTTTTTACTCATAGTCATGTGCTCCTAAAGTTTAGTAATTTATTTTTATTTCTCCATATTACCAACCAGATACAATAAAACATAAAACACATTTTCATCTGTGTCTATTCTGCCACTGAGGTCCTGTGCAGCTGTTAGGATTCTGTTAGACACAGGAGCAGTTAAAATGATTCCATAATCTACTTTAGTAACATAACTTGAAAAAAATAAATAAATTAATTTACCATGCATTTGATTCAAATTTAGCTCTGAGTCCCAATTTAATATATTTCTGAGTAATAAATTGAGAAAACAGTACTGAATTATTTATATGAAATATTACCAGTTTTATTCAAATTGTCACATAGGCTATAACACTTATTTAATAACTCGGTAATCATTTATAGTCGTTCGCAGTCTACAACAGTAATATCATGTCGAACCTGTTCTAAAGAGGAAAACTAAAACAATTTAAAGCGCTGAGCAGCTAGGAAAGACCAAAGAGCAAGATGAACCACGTCTCATTAGCGCCGATAATTATTTTTAGCTTGCATTGAGGAGGTGTATTAAATTCATTATTTATTTATTTATTTTTTTTTTCAACTAACAGTCTTCCACAATACCGTCGTGGGTCTGAGCAACGCTCTTGCGGTCACAACAAGTGTTCAAACCACAAGAAAGACACAAAAGCGTTAAATCATGCAGCAGCTGATGCTCTGGCGACTATGACGTCGCCGGGAAACTTTAAAGACATTTTCGCTGAGACTGTTTAACAACCGTGGGGGGTTTAATGAAGCCAGTTCAGTTAGCCTAGATAACGCCAAGAAGTACAATGCGTCGCGCAGCTTCTCCGGCGTCCTGTCGCGGTACCCCCCTTTTTAACAGTGCATTCGGCAATGTTTTGGACAAAATGAAGAAACGGTTTGGGCAACTTTGAACGCGGGAGCAATAAGCTGACCACGGACAAAATAAATATTCCCATCCAGATGGAATTCGACTTTGAACATGATAAAAGAAATCCGCGGAAACTCAGGGATGTCCTCACCACTTTACGGCTGAAGTGGACAGACAGCAGAAGTTGGAAACGCTACTGGAACCCTGCAGGCAAATTTAACCGAATTTATTCTTCACTGTCCTGTTTCAGAAAGAAATAATGTTTATTTCAATGTGCAAAAACACATATGTTAGTAATTAGTAATTAACTACATTCTAATTTAATTATTTTTATTTTTCTGTTGCAGGCAAGGGAAACCAGGGGTGATTGCAACGTGTTGTGAGATGTAAAACCATCAATTCTTTAATTATTGAGCCACTCACTCCCCAGACCCACAAGGTGGATGTCAGGACTGAAAGTTGTCATGTTCCAATTGTATTGAGGAAAAAAATTATTTAGAGGTAAGAATTATTATTATTATTATTTTTTTTTTGACAAAAGATGAATTTTGATTGTTTTTTACAAAGTTGAAGCTAGAATCCTGTCTGTCAGTTGTGAAAGCAGTTTCTCAAGCAGCTAATTATCTGAAAGTTGTCCATGAGGAATGACAAGATGCTACTCTGGGTTGGCTTATATCTCAATTACACTTTTTAAATTGCATCTAGAATGTGGCTTCTAATTTTGCTCTTTTTATTATCTTTCAGCTCCAACTCATCCCATCATGCATTACATCCTACATAGTTGGATAGGTTTTTTTATTAATAAAGGCCATCTCTGTCTTCGACAAAAACTCAGAACGTCTGTAATCTCCTTTTATGGTTTTCTATCAATAAAAAATGGAGGTGTTAAATATGCCAACGCAAAAAGTGTTAGAATGTATCCAGGAGAATGAACAAGAATGAAGAGACCGGTATTTTTGGTACTCTGTGATTCTCCCTGTGCCTCTTCATCTCTCCCAAGGGATGGAGAGCTCAAATAATGATCCTGCCCAAGTGGTCAAATTCAAGTCGATGTTCAAAACAGACCCGAAGACATGCAAAAAATAAAAAAAAAGAAAGAAAAAGGCCTCTTTTGCCAATCTGAAAATTGCTACTGTACTGATATCCATATTCAGGTCAATACAGATCAGAGAGGCTGAACTCTGGGATTAATCTGAACTAAAATGTGAATATAAACTCCACATATTAGAATATTGTTGAAACGCTTAGTACCTATTTTAAGTAACCTAGCTGTTCCATAAAGCACAAAAATATATTTTTAGAATGACTGCTAAAGTAAGAATTTAACAAAAATGGGAAAAGATGCTCATGACTTCTCTTCTACACAAAAGCAGTTTCTACGAAAAAGTGAGAAAAAGCACAAAAAAAAAGAAAAAAATTCCAAATTCTGTAACTTTGATAATACATATAAAAAATAAACTAAAGTCAAAATCTGTTTTGATACTCCTTAATGTGGTGGAACCTTGACATAATTTGCCTATTTTACTCATTATTCCCTTGAATCAGCATAAACTATTTTTAAATGTTTACAAATTCCTCAATTTAAAACTGGTCTCAAAATATCTAAAAACAAATCTATGTCAATAAATCATATCTAAAAGGCAAATCTTTTTTTTAAAAAAAATTGCCAGTTTTTAAGGTTTATTGTATTTAAACCTTTAAATCTTAACGCTACGGTCTGAAATGTACTTACCCAGAGCAGTAAATCAATCCAAAGGTTCCTAAAGTCTCTCTTGCTGCTCTTGAAACTTGTTATTCTAGAGCTTGTTCAGCCTTATATATTAGCTCTAAGTTGATGCCAGAATGACGCAGATATGAAATTTCTTTTGAAACAATATAGGTATTTCAGGAATGACGAGGTAAAAAATCCGGCTGTGCAACTACGCTTTTTTTTTTTTCAAGTTTCCTTCATATATACCTCATTCACAGCTCAGAGATATTACTTCATTCCACCCCAAGTAAAATATCCAGATGTTGTTGCTTTAATTTGTGGATGTGTTACAGTTGTAAGTATGTCAAAATATAAAGATAAGACTTTGTTGTGAATAAAAACGGGAAAAATATTTTTCTTTTGGCTTAGTTTCATTTTGCTAAGATGCACGGCAAATTTGGTGAATGCAAATTGTGAGTGAGAAAATGCCAGAGGTGTGGCTATAATACCATCTTTTGTGCAACGTTGACAGCTCTAGAGAATCCAAATTTAGAATAGACGCACTCTGTTCAGAAATCCATTATTAACTTGTGAAATTCTTATTTGACAGGTTGGACCAGGTTCAAAACAAACAGTACTTAGGTTCACAAAAGGGATCTCAAGAAGTCCACATTTTGTGATCCCTAAATGAGAACTTGTTTTTTTGTGTCTTACAAAAGTTATGTCATAACATGGCAAGAAATGTCAGTTGTGGAGCCACACTGCAGCAAAACGTACATGAGAATTTCAAAACAATTAAAAATTTATTTTAATAAGAATCTGAGTAAAAAAAAAAATAAAAAAAAAAGACAGCACCATGGATCCATTGTTAAAGTCCCCAATGTCAGTTGAGAATGTAATTGTAAAATACATTTACGAACAGTCAAACGTTTTACGATAAACTTTAAAGTATAATTCTTTAATTACGATGTATGAAATCACAATTCACACGTGTTTGATTTAGACATTTAACTGCATCGAAAAATGTTTTAACAAGTATAATCATTCAACCACAAGAAAAATTCAAGAGGAAACTAAAATCAGTAATTGCTTGGATGTGTTTGGAAATACTTTGGCTATGTGTCATTGGCAGACGGGTATAATCTTGCCACTTCACAGTTTGCTGCATTTAATAAAGTGATTGCTGAGCCTCAGATTAAAATAACTGATCTATGACTGGAATTATGAATAACAGAAGTGGGATGTTGTTTTTGGTTGTTCCCATTCAAAAGTATGTCAGGTACAGTGAATCATTCCTAATGCATTTTCCATCCGTCCATTCTTCCATCGGTGTTTCTAGGCCAGCAGAGACGCATCGTCCCTCCAGTGTGTCTTGGGTCTACTTCTGGGTCTCCTCCCGGTGGGACGTGTCCAGAACCTCCGCCACTGGCTCGTGTCAATGTGGAGAAGCAGCAGCTCTACTCTGAGTCCCTCCCGGATGACCAAGCTTCACCCTGTCTCCTGTCTCTAAGGGAGAGTCCAGACACAAAGCGGATGAAACTCTTTCTGGCCACTAGTATCCATGATCTCATTCTTTCGGTTCCTACCCAGAGATGATGACTCCAGAGGAGGGTTGGACCGTATCTTGACCAGTGAACTGTGAGCTTGGCCTTTTGACTCAGCTCCCTCTTCACCCAAATGAACCGGTACCGAGTCCACATCACTACAGACCCAGCACAATTTAGCCTATCAATTAAATCAGGTTTTCAGCTAGTGGAAGATGTCAACACTAAAATCATTCATAGTGGAAAATGGAAACATCTAATTTGAGATTTTGGCAATAGCTTTAACATATGGCCTTAAGTCATACATTGCAGATTAAAACTAATAAAGGCCTCAGATTAGAACGAGTTCATTTGAAATAAATCGGTTATTTGACATTAGCAGAACTGAAGGTCATCGGCAACTCAAGGAAAATCGGTTTGTTCATCACTAAGACAGAAGAGTTTTCTGCTAACAGAATAAAAGGAAACATGAAAACAAATAGAATGAGGAGCAAAAAGATATTTAAAAATCTTAAGATTCACCTGCTCGTTACATAGAGAGGAAGAGTCAAAATGGATGTGCGATAATAAGTCAATTATATTAATTAGTTGCACATCATGTGCCTGGATCAAATGTAGTCATATTTAATAAATTAGAATATGGATTCTGATTAGTCTCATTTGTCAGATTAAACATATTTGTCATTAGACCAACAATTCTGCATTAAGATTTTTTTTATTGGCCTGATGTAACATTCTAATCTTGAATGTCATGTTTCCATTAGTTTTAAACAAGAAATCATAATTAACTGAAATTGAAATGTTAAAACATCAGTCTATGTGTAATTAAACTATATAATGTGTTTTACTTGTCAGCTGAGTTACTGAAATACTTTTTCTTAATATTCTAATTTATTGAATATGACTGTCATTTTGCATTGAGTTATGCACGAAATATACACTAGATGGCACTATTGCTTTGAGAAATGTATGCCACAGGACGTGCAAAGCGCAAGAATGACACGACAAAGAAACTTCTGTGATATCTTCACTCCCGAGACTTGAGGTCCATCATTGAATATTAATATTAGCTCCATACAGTGCTTCTAAATTTTCAAATTAATTATTAATTAAACAGAAAAGAAAATTCAACATCAGCTCTATGCATTCTGCTTGAAATACTCTCCAGTGTATTTACATCAAACTATACAAACATACACCACAAGGAGGTGCTAGAAGACTTTTAGTAGAAGTCTGTGGGTTTTGAATTAATGACTGATGTAAACATGACAGTCATGGGCATTGCATTCTAGGCTTTTACACATTTTGCACATATCCCAACTTTTATTGTTATACTTTGTTTTTAACAAACTTTTCTGTTTTGGCTGTTTAATGACTAGTGATGTGATATGTGAAACTTTGAACACCTGATAGTAAACAGAAAATAATTACAGAACAGTATTTACCCTTATTTTAATTTTAGATGTAGATGTGGCAAGAACAAAAGGAGATCATGTAAGAGAAGCCACAGCGAAAAGGTAAAAAAAAAAAAAAAGCTTAGAGTTTATGACTCGACTCATTGGGAGATGGTTTCCCATGCTTTTATGATTCTCCAAATGGCTGACTGCCTCAACAGCTCCTTCTGCACTGGTTGTTAAAAAATAAAAATCAATTATTTATATATATATATATATATATATATATATATATATATATATATATATATATTCTTTTTAAACAAAGAAGAAGAAAAAACAGTGCAATGGCAGCTGCTTTTCCATTAATCATAAAATTGCACAGATATAAATATAATCAGCAATAAAACGCGCTAGGAGGTCCTGTGCTCAACAAATACAGAGCAAATAGCGAAATGAGCTAATGACAGATGTAAGATGCATACTCCAAAATATGCAACCACAGAAAATAAATGCAAGCAAAAAAATGCTGCAATTACAAATAAAATGCTGCAACCACAGACAAAATGCTATAACCACAATCAAAATGCTATAATCACAATCAAAAGGCTGAAATTACAAATAAAATGCTGTAATCACGAAAAATGCTGCAAACACAAGGAACAGGAGCAAGGCAGAGAAATGCAGCATAGCAAAAACAACTCCAAACTCGTTTCACAAAACGGACGTGCTCCAAACCACTAGGGGGAGTCGAACAAAGAACAAATCATATCGGACCAGGCCCTCAGGAAAAACTAGAAATGTAAGCGGTGAATACAGATGTGTACACTATTAATTTGCCATAATAAGTTGTTGCAAAACGTTTTTAGGTGAGAAAGTAGTCTTCATAGCTCCATCTACCCACTCAGTTCATCCAAAATGAGGCTTCTTTGAAATGTGCTCCGGAGTTTAACAACTAACAGTCTTCCATGAGGCGTCTATCCTTATATTATGTCTGTGAGAGAAAAGACGACGTCATGGGGTCCTCTGGTGCCCCCTAATAATGCCTGATTTTTTACATTCTTTTCATGTCTGACGGTGTTGACAAAAACTAGGGACAAATTTCAACGGAGTTGGAAAATATCTAAAAATTATTTTTTAATTCAATTTATCGATACTTTTATAATTATTTATATGAGTAATACTTAATTGTCATAACATATAATTTTTGTATTTCTTTAATTGTTTTAAACTATTATAATGTGTTGAGTTCTGCTCCTGGACAAGGGATTTTACAGGCATCCTCCACCGACTACAATATTTAAAATAAAAAAAATATTCAGCAAACACAAGAAAATTATACATTGTTGTGCTCACATGACCCAGGTTAGTTTAGTCAGATATTTGAAAAAATTATATTTTGTGTATATTTTATTCAAATTTTGTGCTTTATCCATAGGACCTGTTTTGTCCCTATTCTCAAGAATCACTGATATTTAATGTGTTGGTATTTGTGCCGTTTGTAAATTCATAGTAACAAAAGTGTTTTAAGACATTACCCCTTAATGATCAAATGGAACACTTTTCACTTCTGGTTGTGTGTAAGAAATACACACTTCCCTTTGGCTTCTTACGTGCAGTGTGAACTTTTTTTTTACATTTATTTGTTATTGTTTTATGTAGGTAACTCTTCAGGAAGAGAGGGCACAGTTTCAGGTTTGGATGCAGGCTCCCAGAAGCTCCCAGTGATACTCTTCCTCTTCCTAGCCTGCCATTGTCATTGAATTCAAAAGTTTACATACATTAGGTCTATAACAGGGACAACTTTCTTTTAACATGAATTACTCTTTTGGGTTTCCTCCAACCACAAACTTCTGATAAGTCAACTGACCCATTTGAGTTAACTGGATGAATTGTGGGTGTATTTTAAGGCCACACCTGAAACATGCTGCTTTCTTTTTTTTGACATGAAGGGAAAGTCAAAAGAAATCAACCAAAATATCATGAAGAAAATCTTGCAGCTTTACAAGTCTGGTTCATCCTGAGGAACAATTCACTGATGCTTGAGGGATTAATCTTTCCAAACAATTATATGCAAATACAGACGTGATATAAATGTTCAACCAGCATTTACCCCAGTGATATGTCCAAATGGACAACATCCCTCAGCTTACAGCCAAAGTGGTTATAAAGTAGGTGAAGGACCACAAAGTCAGTGTTTTAGTGTGGCCATCAAAGCCCTGATCTAATTCCTATGGAGAAATTGTGGGGAGATCTGACAAGGTCTGTGCAAGTGAGGTCCC